TCCATCCGTGACTCACTGAGTGTTGCTTTCCGTGGGATCAGTCACTGCCCTCCTAGTGGGCTCTATGCTCACCTCTGCCGCCTCCTGGCCTTGTGCCTGGGCCACCAGGATCCCTATGCCACTGCCTACCTCGTCACTGAATCTGTCTCCATCACCTGTCGCCACCAGCTGCTCACCCATCTCCACAGGCAGCTCAGGTGAGTTCCCACCATCCATAAGGCAGACTGCAGGAGGGTCCAGACTTTGAAGGAGGGATAACTCACCCCTACTTGTGTTGCCTGCAGCAAGGTCCAGAAGCACCGAGGATCACTTGAAATTGCAGACCAGCTGCAAGACCTGAGTCTCCAGGAGAAGCCTGGAGATCTCCCCCTGGCCCGTATCCAGAGTCTCTTTTCCTTCAGGACTTCAGGATCTGGCCATTTCCCCCAGCCTGAGAAGGAGAGTTTCCAGGAGCACCTGGCTCTGATCCCCAGTGGTATGGTGGCAGGCTTCAGCTGGTTCTTCTGTCTTTTTATTCATCTTACTAAAGAGTTGGGTGTAGGTTATTATAAGGCGTTAGTTAGCTTACATAAACTTAAGACCCTTGTGGAAGGACATGTCATACTTTTTCATTGATTAGTCACTGAACAGATATGCCCTTAATCTGGAAATCTTTTTTTTTTTAACCTCAACTTTGAGTTACCAGCAAATTCGATGTCTTTCTTCAGGGATAAGTTCAGGTGTCCAGGGTCTCACTATACTAACATGAAACATTAACAGATGATTCGAGTGCCTCCTTCTGTGCAGGGTCCTTTGTTCATTTCTGCGAGAGACACAAAGAAGTATAAGACATGGTCTCTGTCCCCAGGGAGTTGTTAAGGCAATTGAGAGCACCTTGAACTCCACTGACCAGTAAAGACTTTAGTTGTCTTGAGTGATTGATAGGGATTGAGTACAGAAGACAGAGAAGGGAATTCCTTGTAACAGCTGAAATGATTCCGGGTATGTCCTGTATGTCAGGGGTGACTGTGTGTGTGTTGGCCCTGGCCACCCTCCAGCCTCGAACGGTGGGCAACACCCTCCTGCTGACCCGGCTGGAAAAAGACAATCCCCCGGTCACTGTGCAGATCCCCACTGCCCAGAACAAGGTAGGTTTCATGGGCCATGGAGCAAAGTTGGGCTGGGGTAGGCTTTTGGTCAAGCTCACGTTCTGTGGCTGGGGAATAGAGAGATGGTGATCAGTGGACAAGCAGAAATCTCATAACCCCATCTCCCAAAGTTTCCTCTGAGTTCAGCCCTGAAAGAGTTTGATGCCATCCAGAAGGAACAGAAAGAGAACAGCAGCTGTACTGACAAACGAGAATGGTGGACAGGGCGGCTAGAACTGGACCATAGGATGGAGGTGTGTGCCCCAAAGGTGGGGTGGGGTTAGGCCTCTTCTAGGAATGACCTGGGGGTGCCAGTGTCTTCTCTCAGGGATGCTAGGAGTGACTGAGGTACTGACCGACCTCAAGTCCTTTCTGGAAATGTAGGCCTAAATAAAAAATTATGTCATTTGAAAAGGACTTTAAACAAGAGCCCAAAAGTTGAAGAGGTTTTGACAATGGAATGTTTAAAGGTACATATAAGAAAAAGGATTTAAGCTCAAGAATCAGCTTCCCAACTTTAACTTTCATTGCCCACCTGTTCATAGTTGCCAAAACATAGTGATACGTAACAAATCATCTTATCTATACTCCGCCCCTAGTGTCTCAGGAAATGCGAAATGTTTGTAGCTTCTTGCCTTTTATGAATGGCAGAAGGATATGTAGACAGTTACACACATTGGGAAATCTCATCTCCAAAATATATGTACTGTGGGAAAAGAAACTCAGCTTCCCCTCTGACTAAAGGTTCTATTTTCCGCATTCAGGTTCTCATCACTTCCCTGGAGAAGCATGTGTTGGGCTGCTGGAGGGGGCTGTTGCTGCCATCCAGTGAGGACCCTGGCCCTGCTCAAGAGGCCTCCCACCTACAAGAGTTGCTACAGGAATGTGGCTGGAAATATCCCGACTCCACTCTGCTGAAAGTGAGTTGAGAAATCAAGGAAGGAGAAGAAACTAGACTTAATTCTTTCCCACCTGCCATTGTGAGTGGAGGTGGGAGCTATGGCACTCACTGACCACTGTTCCTCTACAGATCATGCTCAGTGGTGCCAATACCCTCACTCCTCAGGACATTCAGACTCTGGCCTATGGACTGTGCCCAGCCCAGCCAGAGCGAGCCCAAGAGCTCCTGAGTGAGGCAATAGGACGTCTACAGGGGCAGACAGCACTAAGCAATAGGCATCTTGTCTTAGTGCTGGACAAGGTAAGGAGCTAGAGGCCAGAAGGGCAGTATCTGGTGGGCAGTGGGTACCAACTCATTCCCACACCCCTTCTGACTTCTGCATATACCTGGCTAGGACCGTAAGTAATCTCTGAGTGCTTTTTGCCCAGGACCTGCAAAAGCTGCCATGGGAGAGCATACCCAGCCTCCGGGCACTGCCTGTCACTCGACTGCCCTCCTTCCGCTTCCTACTCAGCTACACCAGCATCAAAGAGGTGGGGTTCAAGGCATGTGGACTGGGGATGATGGTGATTGGGGGAGACCTGCGAATATAGGAGAGGGTCTTAGGAATGGATCAGTTGTGGAATGGGGCTTGGAGTTTGTTGGAGGCTGAGCCCTCTGGCCAGACCAGCATCCTGATTGCCGGTGTCTCTTCCTCAGTCTGGGGCCTCATCAGTGCTGAGCCAAGGGGTGGATCCACATAGTACCTTCTATGTTCTGAACCCTCACAATAACCTGTCAAGCACAGAGGAGCAATTTCGAGCCAATTTTAGCAGGTCAGGAGGATACGAGTAAGAAAGGAGGTGGGGAAGGGTAAAGACAACATATAGGGCAACGTGTCTTTTTCTCCAGAATCAGATGTCGCAGCCCACCTTCTCCCTAGTATTCCTTCTGCTCTCTTCCACATGACCCCTATTCTTACTCCTGCCTTTTCCCTTCAGTGAAGCTGGCTGGAAAGGAGTGATTGGGGAGGTGCCGAGCCCAGAACAGGTGCAGGCAGCCCTGACGGAGCATGACTTATATATGTGAGTGCTCAGGGCAGGGAGGGGTGGGGAGGGGGGCAATCCTTTAAAGCCTCTGGCTGACTCAGGACAGGTCTGGAGACATTAGCAGAGGCCTAGTATGGCTAGGTCAGACTCATCTCACCTTCTGCCTTAGCTATGCAGGGCATGGGGCCGGTGCTCGCTTCCTGGATGGGCAGGCTGTCCTGCGGCTGAGCTGCCGGGCAGTGGCCCTGCTGTTTGGCTGCAGCAGTGCAGCTCTGGCTGTGCATGGAAACCTGGAGGGGGCTGGCATCGTACTCAAGTATATCATGGCTGGCTGGTGAGTCTCAAGGGTCAAGGCCCATCCTAGTTCGCAAGCTCAGGTTCTTTTCCAGGTCTGAATCCTAAATCTTTCCCCTTTTGTGCCCCACCTTCATTGCTTCCTAGTTCCCTGGCGTGCCTGGGCCTTTAACCCTTTGCCTTCTCTCCTCCTAGAACTATGGGCCAAGGGACTTCCTCATTGATTCAGTCCTCTCTAATCACCCACCACTACCTCAATCATGTTTTCTTATGTATTCTGTTTTAGAGTCCGCCCTTTGTATTTCTTCCTCCTTTTTTCTCAGTCCCCTGTTTCTGGGTAACCTCTGGGATGTGACTGACCGTGACATCGACCGCTACACAGAGGCGCTGCTGCAGGGCTGGCTTGGAGCAGGCCCAGGAGCCCCCCTTCTCTACTATGTCAGCCAGGCCCGCCAGGCTCCTCGACTCAAGTATCTCATCGGGGCAGCACCTGTAGCCTATGGCTTGCCTGTCTCCCTGCGGTGACCCCTTAGAGCTGTCCTATCGCTGATAGAAGCCATGTGAACGGTTCTACCTCTCATACTTAGATTTAACTCCTAGGATAAATATTTTAAGTGATTTCCCCCAGTGTTTTATATGAAACATTTCCTTTTAATTTAACTTTATTATAATAAAGATATATTACTTAAATTCTATTTTGTGTAGTTTATTTGAAAACATTTGAAGACTACCCCCCCCACCCCCCTACCCCCCCAGACACACACACACACTATGTGGTGCTACAAACAGAACAGCTTGCAGGAGTTCAAGTCAGAGTACTGGGAAGGCAAAACCGTAGGACAAAGCTGGGCCTGGTTTGGCCTCAGCAGACAAAGCTAAAGGAGAGAGGGGCCTCAAAATGTTCTAAGTGGAAACAGAGGTCAAAGAAGGGTAGAGATAAACTCATTGAGAATGTCTTGACCAGGTACCATCATGTCTGTCCCGCCTTCCTGCCCTCGGGTATCCTGGGAGTGATGCCAGCTTTAAAGCCTGAATTCCCCTGCCTCCCTCCTTAGTAGATATTAGAAGCTGCAGTTCTCTCCCCACATACAACTGTTACACTTGTCAGTGCACTTTGGCAGCAGATTCTGTGGGGTTCTGCTTGTGTATGGCTTTTTTCTCCACAATTAGATTGTTACTCTCAGAAGCACTTATCTTACACGTTAATATATCCCTCACACCTAGCACATGGTAAAATATTGTATTAAACCTTGTGCTGTAGTTGTTGGTTGATAAGGTGCCTCCTTATTCTCTCCGCCGCCAGATTCTATTCTGCTTCATCGACCCAAAGCACCACTTTCCTGATGCTACTCCCCCTGACCCGAGAACTTCACAGGCTTCTTCCTTACCTGTCCTTTACTAGGTTTATACCACCCACATGGAGTAGCATACATTGCTTTGCAATGTTGTGCTTATGGCCTGAGTACTTTTAAGATTTTTAAAATCCTTGAAGGCAAGAGTCCTGTTTGCTACAACTTTACTACACTAGGCTTGGGATGTTTTATGAAAAGAACACACCGCTGTCTTCTCTAACATAAGGCCAGTCTCAGGTTCCAGCCCTTCCGCCCATTCCCGGACGGAGGATCATAGAGATGTCTGGCGCAGCGAGGCCTCCTGGCGCAGCCATCGAGATGCGCAGAGGACGGCTAGAGCGTTGCTCGTAGAGCTGGCTTCCGCGTTCTTAGTCCTTCTTCCCAACATGGCGCAGTCAGTTAACATCACCGAGCTGAATCTACCGCAGCTGGAAATGCTCAAGAACCAGCTGGACCAGGTGAGGACGGGCTCCAGAGACACTCTTTTCCCACCTCACATCCTTCCTGCCCATGCGTACGCTCTCGCCCCCCGCATTCGTCCCCACTTCGGGAGGCTTCCCTTCCCGTGCGAAACCCCCGCCCCTTCTCTGGCAGTGACCCCTCTCCCCTCAGCCCCCACACTGACCCTCTTCTCTGAACTCTATAGGAAGTGGAGTTCTTGTCTACGTCCATTGCACAGCTCAAGGTGGTACAGACCAAGTATGTGGAAGCCAAGGACTGTCTGAACGTGCTGAACAAGAGCAACGAGGGTATGGGGTAGGCACGCGAAGGCAACCTATGGGATGTGGTGAGCCGGCTTCTCTCGTCTCGCCTCCTAATCCAGTCTAATTTACCGGAGACGAGAAAAAAATCCATTACATATTGTGTACTGCGACGTGAGCCCTTTGCATGTTGCCAACCTACAGTTGAAGTGTGCGGTTCATTTCACTGCTCCTGTTGCCCGTTTCCGTTCTTTTCATACTGTGCGTAGTGCCACGTTGAGACTGCCTTTAACGTCTT